CCCCAAAACCCCAAAACCCCAAAACCCCAAAACCCCGGTTTTTGGAGGGGAGATTGAAGGAAGTTAGATAGTAGCCTTTTGGATGACGAGGCAGGGGAGTTTAGGCTTGGATTTAGTGGGTTTGGTGGCTTTGTTACGTGTGTTTGACCTTGGAGCCTATGTGAGGTGAGGGGGAAGGGAGGTACTCGTTTTTTTAGAACTGTTCTTTCGTGGGGGGTTTCTTGGGTGTATAGGGTGTTGACAGCATCATCGCTTTTTCCAAGAATTGATTTCACAAATTTAGCTAAGGGTTTTATAGGGGGTTTACCTTTGGAGATTATACTTTTGGATTCCTTTCTGAGCCCTTGACTCAATTGATCAGAGTATGGGTCTAAACTGGCTATTCAATCTTACTTTTGTTCTTCATTCAGATGTTTTGATAAGGGAGGGAATCAAATATTGGTCTATGATTTCTCCTAAAAATTACAAATAATCTCACATTGGCTGAAGCATAGTTTGGCTTAATTCAAGGTCTACCTTTGAATTATTAACTGCTTCAAAATGTTGATGGTTCTTTAACTCCATCACATCTTGAATTATTTGAGCATCAGTCTTGTTCAGAGCTTGATTACTTGAATTCATGCTTAGATTCCTGGTCTCAGGATTTTGATACACAGAAGAATCTTCTTTCTCTTTCTCATAAATAGCTTTAGTGATCTTAGAGTTCTCTATACAGAGAGAATCTTGCCTTTCTAAAAATGGTCACTTCATTTACTTTGCTCTTTGTTAGAAATCTTATTATGGCTGATAGTTTTGGTATTCGAAGGGTGACTCATCTTCCTGATAACGCTTCTACAGATTATGCTAGGATTACTTCTCCCATAACTTTTCAGTATTCCTCATCTTATCGTACTTAGAGTTTCGCAGGAGCCAAGGATGCTTGGAAGTACTCTTGACCTGAGAGACTCTATGATTGGACATTGATCTATCTCCACTTTCAAAAGGGTACTTTTGTTGCAGCTTAGTGGATTTGTTCGGCAGATCTATTTTGAATTTATCTCTAGTGATATTAAGTTCATCATTGCCCTTTATGAAAACTTTTATTTGGCTCCTGTCTAGATGGGTTAGAAGAATCCTTGCCTTCTGAGAGGTTAAGATCATCATTATTTCCATATGTTAATGGCTTATTAAAAGTCATTAGTTTGTCAAGTGGTTGATCATTGTATCTTAGCCCTGTGAGACTGAGCCCCTTGAGGTTATCTGTGAGACCTATAAATCATAGATAGAAAATTACTAGTAGGGAGGTCATGAATGTTTCTGGAATTTTGATTAATATGTTTGAACCCTTTCGTTGATCTCATCTCAAGATTTTCTCTGTGTCTCTGAAGCATTTCTCTGCCTTTCTTCATCATTCTTTCTTGAATCTTGATAAAATAAGGCTTTCCAACTTGGATTCCGATGGATTCTCCTTGGGTGTCGAACAATAAATTTTTGTATGAATTCCTTACAGATTTGGCCTCATTTTCAGAAAGACTTCTCTTGGTCTCGATCTTACGACATTCTTTACAAATATATGACTGCTTGAGGATAATTTTGGGGAAGTCTGCAGAATCATTATGCTCAGTAAAATGTTCCGTTGGGAGTTTTATCATGGTATCCCTTGCGATAGCTTGGCTGCCAGCATGAATTTTGCTGGGATGTTCTAAAATTCCTTCTTTTATCACTTCATTATTGCTCAACTAGAGATTAGAAATTTATTACTTTGTTCTTTATTATATGAACTGAAAGATTTGGTTGATCTTGATTTTCTGGTACATTCTTAATAGTTTCAAATGAATCTCCAATACTCTTATTGATTTTACTCTCATCCTTACGGTCTAGATTATGTTAAGCCGACTGGGGTTACCTTTAGACTCTCTTTCTTCAATACTTTTACGGTCAGAAATAGGCTTGAGGTATTTCTCATCGATTTCAGAATCTTCTTCATAGTTACTGTTGTTACGCTTGGTCAGCTCAATGATTTTCTTTGTGCTATGACTTCTCTCACTTCTCCGATCCAAATCTTCATTAGCAAAGATTTTCTCAGTCTGAACGTTAGAAGGGAGATTACCATTGTTCCTTTAGTGATCATTGGGATATCCTGGATTACTTTAGTCATCTTTCTTTTCAAGAGTAAATTACTCATCTCCATCCTCCTGAGCTTGATAATACTATCATTGCTGCTACCAGACTCACTCATTGATGAGGATGGGGTTCTGACAGGAGATTCCTCTAGATATTAAATATAGTTTCTCACTTCTTAATTTCTTGTCTTTCCGGTACTCTTGGTACTCCTTCTCCTCTATCGCTACTAAATGCTTGTTTATGTCTTTCATGTCAGTGATGCATCCTTGGTTATGGAATCTCCGCTTTATTCTTTGGATCTTTTCAATACATTTTATTGATGCCTCCCTTTGAATGAAGCTTACATCTAGAGGACTATTATTAGCTAAATCACTAGCTGGATTTTGCTGCGAGTTTAGCCCCATTCCGTCAAGAAAAGTATTAATATCTATTGATGAAGGATCTCCTTTGACGTAAGCAAGGTCATTCTCTAGTTTCACTATCTTTTTAGACAAATTATTGATGATGGACTCAGCTTCTTCTTTGTATTGTTTTAGATGAACATTTTCTTTCTCATTAAACCTGACTTCTTCCTTAAATCTGTTGTGCTCCTCTTCCTTCATAGTAAGCTTTGACTTATTTTCTTCAAGTTGGAGGTTATGCAACCTATGGGTTTCCTTTTCAACCGCAAGATCATATTTTGCACATTTGAGCTCTTGCTTTAAGATTTCTGTTAAGTCAATTCCTTCTGGATCCTCTGTAAAATTCTATGAGACAAAGTGGCCTACCTGAGCTATTTATCAAGTAAGGACTGAAGGACTTCCTTCTCTTCTTTCTGGAACAGCTTCATTGCTTCTTTGGTTGACTCTTCTGCTTGGTTTTCCCACTTAGATTTTTCAGTGTCATACTTCCACTTGGCTTCATCTAGTTCCTTTCTGAGAGCTTTTATCTCTTTCTCATAGTAATCTTTTAGGTTTTTAAACTTTTCTTGCATTTCTTGATGTACTTTGCCTAAGACTTGGTGGCTAGTTGGGCTATTATGATGTAAAACTTTACATTCAAGTGATGACTAGGGGAGAAAATAAGTTTTATAAGAACTTGTAAGGAAATTTATAATCACTTTGTACCTATTTGGCTCATCAGATGCTATATTTCTATCTTGGTTAGCACTTTGTGCTACTAAAATGATTAGAGGTCATTCAGAAATACCAGGAATTCCTGTGGGATTCTTCAGAATAGCACTATAGACCTTTTCTACCTCTTCTTTGGGAATTTTAGTCAGTCTTTCGTAGGCATTCTCTGAATTTTTAAGTTTGACGATCTGCTGGATCAGCGTTCTTTCATATTTCAGGTGGTCATTAATAGACTTATCACATTGAGATTTTATTTCAGAAATTTTATGGGAGAGGATCTTCTTGCTATCCTCATCAATTAGGTCATTAATGTCAATGTATCTATTGATCCAACAAGGAAGTTACCTATTAGGCTGTGATAATGAAGACTTTGCTTCTCTGATGTGATTATTTAGGATCAGATCGGCTCTCATATTGCATTATTTCCTTGATATAATCCTTCCTGATCTTAGTAAGAGTCTCTTTTAATTGAGAGATTTGGGCTTTAAGCTTGTCATTTTCTTGCTCAAACTCGTTATTTTCGAGGAGATGCCAGCTCAGTAGAGAACCTAGATTTGTTCTAAAGTACTCAGGCTTACTTTCATTTATGGATTGCTTTATTCCTGAACCTTTTTAGTTTATGCTTAAAATTAGACTGCTCTGTGTTTTTATTTTTCTGGAGTTTCTCTGAGAGGATGGTCATGACATCTTTTACAATCACCTCTATTATACCGGTACCCTAGGATTATTGAAGAGTCTTACCTGATCAATGCTACTGCTTTTATGGTTGATGCATGAATCATCACTGGAATAAATCTGGCCATCAAGGAAGGAATATTTCCCAAAACCTTGGAATGTGAAGTTTTGCTATATTCAATGTAGTGATTTGACCTTTAAATGCTTAAGTTGTTTTATAAAAATTTATGCTGGTTTGAGTGAAGAGTTCCTACCTGCTTTATAGCTTCAGTTCCATTTAGATGAGCTTGCACAGCTTGCTTTATTCTGTCTTTAAATTTTTCTTCGTCAGAATTCTAAATTTTAAGGTAAAAATTATGCGTCTTAGAATTTCTTAGAGAGTCCTAATAGCATAATACTAAAAGATATTTCAAGAGAAAGCTAAAAATGAATTCACTAGTCAAATTACCTTTTCCATATTCTTATTTAAAATATTTCAAACAATAAAATCTCCCATGGGGTTTTGGGGTTTTGGGGTTTTGGGGTTTGGGGTTTTGGGGTTTTGGGGTTTTGGGG